TTAGGGCGGGGCTACCTTGTGATTGACAGGTCGCTACCACGGCCCAAAATACAAGAAAATGCTGAATTCCAGACTTTAAAAACCGCAGTCCACATAAAAGTTTTTGCTACCCATGTCCTCTTTAGCCCTCCAAAGAGCATTTTTGATATTGTTAAATTTAGTTAGCAGATGTTTGAGACATCGCATGGAACTGAAATCTGTTTGATTCTAAAATGCAGTAATCTTTCTTTTTGGGGAATAAAATGGTGCTTTTATGTGTATACTGTATACCATTTTTACAATGTCAATGTAAGACTAAGACCTTAACCAGGGTAGAGCTGCGTGGATGTAAACACACACCGTTTGTTGGCCTCTCAAGGATTCCGGTTATCTTTGGTGAGTCAGTTTATGTCAACGCATGGCCATTACTTCACCTGATCAAGTGTCACTAGAACGTCAGTCTGAAATTCATTGCTTGTTCAACAATAGTCAGCAGGAGGCAAAGAAATTAAAAGCAAAACAACCAATAAATTAGCCATACAAATCCCAAGGTGGAAAAGAAAAACAGATGCAGTGCTTATTATTCGGTAGGCTATTTGTCTGAAAGAGATTGTTTTCATTTTCGAAAAAAAAAAAAAAATCATGACCAGGACAAAAAAACAAAACTAGATTGTTTAAAAAGTGAGAGCAAGTGTTGACATTCAGAAGTACGCAAGTCTAATCTGACATTCCTACATTTGTTCTGTCATTAAGTCTAAACATTCATAAAAGAACATTTCATTTGCTTTTTAAAGTAAAGCCAACTAAGAATAAATTAACAGGCCTGGCACAAGCACTGCATCTTTGATGCAACTAACATTCTTAAATACTCATAAATATCCATAAAAAAATCAATTACATCTAATTAAATAACATTAAATTATTAAGTACAAAACTAGCGTGTTCTAAAACACCTCATAAATAAATACAGCATTGAACAGAAAGAAAAGGGAACATACAATGTAAACTTTGGCAAAGCTAATCATTAAGGGAAAAAGGGTTCAGAGGGAGATTTGGCAACAAATATGTTCGCTTAAATTAATTCACAATTAAAAAGAAAACATAAATTACATAAAATAAAAAATAAAAATCGCATATTGCAAAAACCTAGGAAGGAACATAGTCGTAATAGTAGACACATAAGTATTGGCAAATAATTGTAAGTACTTAAAAACAAACAATGAAAACCTCTTTGGGACAGTTTTTTTGGTTTCATACCCATTTTTTGTTCTTTTTTTGGTTTGGCAGGTTTTTGCCTGTGTTACATCCAGACAGAACTGCAAGTGGGAATGGAAAATGGCCGCCACCCCCCTGAGCCACAAGCCACGCCCCTCCATTGGGCGTAGTCAGCAGGATTGGAGGGTCAGGTGGGCGGAGGATTTCTTTGGACTAGAAGCTTTACATACAGAAAGAGAGAGAGAAAACTAAGGATAAAGCTATTTGACCGATATTTTAGCAGTTTCTCTCAGCGGGCGAAGTGTTTTTTGGTTTTGTTTCATTTATTGTCGTTGTATATATGGAGCAGCAGCATAGTTCCTCCCCCCTAAAGAACACGCTAACGTGGGTTTGTTAGCAATGGACAGTTAGTATGTCCAATTATCACTCTCTCTGAGGCTCCTCCTCCAGCATGGCAATGTGGGCTATAACTAACTGTGGTGTAATGATATTTCGACAATTTGCTGTCCTCTTAAGAACTTTTCCACCCAAGCTAGCAGTGCTTTTGTTTGGTAGCCAAAACTCAACTAACATCCGCTGGATTGTCCTCAGTAATTTGGGTCTGTTGCCACATCTCTTCATTTTGAAACTTAGAATTGGAATTCAGTGGGTTTTCAAACTTTTCAAACTCAAAGTATCTCAAATAAGAAAAGTGAGGAAGCCTGATTTCTATTCTATATGCCTGTGAAACTCAGGGTTCAGAATGGGTGACATTTTGTTTTTCAGTTAGTTCCTTTTTTCACTTTGTATTTATAATTGCAGATTAAATGATTACGGTCATAATTTGGAAATGGCCCAATTTTTTTCTTTTCTGGTTCCTACTAGGCTTGGGTTGAAAAGGTAAAAAATCAGAGGCGGTGAGTTGAACAACACTGTGAGTGACGTTGATTGATCTAGATTGCAGATTCAGGATCTGTCCGGGACTGTCAAAATGAGTATGGAAAAAAGAAAAAGATCTGTGTGTGCTACTGTTTTGTACAGCAGAAAATCTTTGGTATGTACTGTACGTTTCACATAGCATAACATTGTCACTCTCTCCGCAGTAGGAAGTGTGCCGGACAACAGCCAGCTCAACATGAAAAAGTGGCCTATTTGAATCCCCAGACTGGGTGGAAGCAAAATGGAAGATGGAAGCTTCTGAGTAACAGTCAACAAGCTCGTTGGTGGGATTTGTTTTCCCCTCGATGCTGACGCACCAAGCTGCTTGTGTCAAACCGCATGGACGTGAAGCAGGGGGGGAAATAAACAGTCCCTGTGCTGTTGTCTGGCAGCTTTTGTTTCTACTGCTGGAGATTGTTGGAGGTAGACTTTGTCCTGTGGAGCAGGTAATGACTTGTGGTGGAAAAAAAACAAGAACACACAAACAGCAACAGCAGCCATCTTAGAAACTCCCGAGACGTGTTTCTCTTTTTTCGAGCATCAAACGTTTGTGGTAATGTTTGGTCATTGCCGTGCGTGTGAAGGATTTATAACTATAATGGCTGCATGTGTTGACGCCATGCTGGAGGAATGACCAATCAAAACACCAGATGTTTTCATTTCAGCTTTGTAAGATACAATACAGACCCGTATGAGTGTCTGCCGTGGGGAAAATGAAGCTCACTATTAGCTGGCAGAATGCTAGCTATCCTGAAAGGAACTGTGATTGAGCGTCCTGGCTACCTTTCTCAACTTGTAAGTATAGAAGGATGCAAAACTGCTACAGGCCTGAAAGTTAAAGTATAGACAAGCTTGATTAGCCTACATGCTAACCCAGGCAGTTTTGTGTGCAACAGATGTAGTAAAATAATAATTAGTGAGTGAAAAGTCCAAAGGGTCCTTTTCGGGGGGAGGAGGATTTGCGACTGGACTTAACGGTGAATCTTTGGTTTGTTAGCTGATGAGGTTTCTGTTGTTCTTTTAACCGTTTTTTTTACTTTGAAAAACTGCATAGGCACACGTTAAAGACACTCTTCAACCGTGAGAGACACATTAATGTTCTGCCGTTTTTTGGGGGTCGGAGGGAAGAAAATGGTCGACGGCATCCTCCGTTGGTTCCTTCCCTCCTTCCCGTGTGGTTTTACCCTTTTCAGTCCCCAACTTGCTTCCCCTTAAAGATGGCCTGATGCAACATCAGGCAGAACAAAGCTACTTCTCCGATCCCGTGATGTCATCCTTTCTCCTGTCCTTCTTCTCGTCGTTGACGACATCGTCCATTCTGGACATTGTCGCCGCCACTCTTTTTTTTGTGTTTTTTTTTTTTTTTTTTTTTTTGGTAATAATTCTCTTCCATCTTCAGTTTTTCCATTTGTTGGTACAGTTAGGTGCAGAAAAAGGTTTTCTTTGGTTTCGATTTGTCAATAAATAGAAAAAGTCTCAAGTGTCCATTTTTTTAAATTTTAAATCGTTCTTAAAGCCTTTGGCTTGTCTCTAACCAGGCTGGGACTCAGCCTGGGGTTTTCTAAGGAGCAGGGGCTGCTGACTGACGCCTTTCCTTTGGTTTTGTTTCTATTTTTGGTTCGATAGCTTGAGTGAAAGATGATTGATGAGGTGATTGCGGATGGTAAGGCTGTTGAACTGGAGTAGGACGTGGCGGCGGTTGAGGTTTTTTGGATGCGCTAGTATTTACATCATGTGTCAAGGCTGTACAGTGTGACGGATCAAAGTAAAATGAATGGGTGTTGTGGGATTTGGTAGAGATGGATGCTTGGTGAGGTCTGTACGGACACGAAGAGAGTCAGAGAGACAGACAGACAAATGTTGTCTCTGTGTCTCAGTCCATCTGTCTTTTTTTACCAAGCATCCAACTCTACTATGCTGCAAACAAGATCCATCTTAGAGCCATCTAAGATTTTTTTTAGAGACAATGGTTGAGTGGTAAGGGTTAGGTTTTCACCACTATCAACAAGAAAACAAGTTGATTTCACAAGCGGAAAAAATTCCATTTTCTCATTAAAAATTTGAAGTCTGAAGATGTTACTTTATTAGCGTTTGCAGCATTTAATACCGATCTTCCAGCCCGCTGACCTTCTGGAAGAGACGGACCTGCCAGGCATCGTCTTTAGATTGTCCTCTTTAACTATTACAAAGGCCCTGATTCGCCTGGACAGTTCGTCTTCCGTGGGTTCAGACGGTTTACTGGTTCTGCTGTTGTATCACTTGATGTGTTAAGAGTCTGCGGTTTGTTTTTCGAGGTATCTGTGATGGCAGCTGGAGGCTTCAAGAAAGCATCTTAGTTACAGCTGGATTTACACCAAAAGGTCAAATTGTAAGGCTCTGAGCAAGCTTTGCCCAAGAACCCCTTCAGCAATGACAAACCAACAGTCAAAGATTTGTAAAATATGCACGGACTCTGGACATGGGCACTGGAAGATTGTGTCAAATCTACAGTGTGTTGCGTAAGGTAAGAATTTCGGTCGTGATCGTGCTAAAAACTAGACGGCCCTTCTGTAAAAAGGGCCGGGCGCTTCAGACAAACTCTGTCCTACATCGTGATAATCATCCCACAATTTTGTAACCCTCTGAGAAAGACAATCAATCCTGTTTTATACAGTGATTGGCCAGGTGTGCTGTGGTGTGACAGTAGCCGGGGTTAGACTCAACTACTTCCATCACTTTCTGTGTGTGGTCCAACACCACGAATGCCTTAGAGGACAGATTGTCGCCATTTGTATGGGTCGTTGGACCTTGCCTATTGTTATGATTGGGCGAATGGGGCCATTTGGAAAAGGTGGAAACAGTTTGGTCTCTAGATGTAGTCGGGCAACATGTTTGAAGCATACCTTGGCCTTAAGTGTTAAACTACCTCTTTTTTTAGTGCTGTCCGTGCTCATTTCACAAAACTTTGTCAGAAATGGCTCAAGAAACCAATATGTGTGCAACCGTGTCTTGTCGCTTCTGCTGGTTTGTTAAAAGCCCAGGAGCTCTTGCCGCTAAACACTCTTTTGGTTAAACATGGATTATAAACATAACTTTAAGCTTTAATGCTTTGTAAGGGATTGATGACTTTCTGGTTGTTTTGTGTCCAAACACACTGCATTTATATGCGAACAGGGACTTTACCCATTTTATCTTACACCCATCTAAACGGGGAGAAGTAACAAGTAAAGCCTTTTGTGTTTGTGTAAATCCAGGCTGGATTTGGCGATTTCTATCTCTGAAAGAGAGCTATAGCTGTAGAGAAAATGGAGTTTAGGCATTAAAAAATCTGCCTTCAAAACATTTTACCACATTTTGGACCACAGATGTGGCTCAAATTGTTAAAAAATTTCAGTGACAGATCAAACAGCACCAGTTTTAGCGTCTTAATTGGTGTCTTTGTTGTAATTGTTGCCAAGATGCTAGGCTGGAAACCGCTGCCCTGATGGATGAGTTACCATGGTAATATAAATTATGGGTGTGTGAAGCCAGGGTAAACTTTGGTTCGCTTTGGTTTAGCTGACAACGTTTCGGTCAGGGTGGGGATTTCCGGGGGAACGTTCGGGAAATGACTCTTCAAAGTTGTGTGTCTTTGTGTGAAGCAGGTGTATTTGCTTGTCTGCAACAGAGTGTGTCTTACGAGCATGTTTGTACATTACAGTGTGTAACGACAGAATGCCGAATGGATTTCAGCCACTGTTTAGAAAAAATGGCATCCTGAGTTTTCTAAGATGTGAAGACCACTCGGCTTAGCAGAGAGCCCCGGTTCTATTGCAAAGAAAATGTGCTTCAAGATTGTGCTCACATACGTTGTTTATATTCATATATAATACCCCAAAACTCCACTGAACGCTAAGTATGCTGAGAGAGAAAGCTTGTGTGTCGGTGAACGGTCGTGTATCTGTGTGTTTGTGCTTGCATATTTTGCCATTTCCTAACTTTAAGAATCCTCAATGCCCCCCCTTAAATAGTCCAATTAATACATCTTTTTTGGGGGTAAAATTGAAGAGTTTTGTCTCCAAAAAATGACAGAAATCTCATCATTTTGTAAAAAAAAAAAAAAAAAAAAAAAAAGTTGGTTATGAAGTCATAATTTAAGAAAATAACAATCCATCTACAACCTGGATCATTTATATATATATATTCCAGAGATCAACTTCAGGTACGTATTTTCCTTTTAAAAATGGACATTGAACATTTTGGAAGTAAACTCTTCAGCTCTGATCTCAGAAAACAGACTTTGGTTTTTCTGTTAGTGTTTGTGAGCCTGACGGTTCACATCAGGGACTGCACAGCCAAATGAACACAGTTGTTGGACTGTTTTTTCCTCCATCGCTCAACCATTAATTGACACATGCATAAACTGACAAGCTGAACCTACTGATTTAGATGAATAAATCATTGAATGTTTGACTAGATCATTTGAACATAACAACCACTAGCTTTTCCCAAGCATACTGAGGACACTCAGTCCAAGCCAGTTTGTGGGCCTCATGAGAAGACTATTTTTATGGTTTCTTATGACTGAGAAAATGTCCCCTATACATCTTTGGTTTGGTTAAAAAAAACAACTGTAATCCACAGTCCAACTTCACCCTAAGCTGCACAAACTCACCTCCTTTTGTTTTAAATCACGCTTCAGCTACAGCGATCTGAATTTGACTGTGCAATCTCTGAAACCAGACTTCTGAACGTGAAAGTCTTCAACTCTGCCCAAAACAGATGCATCATTGCCATCTTTGGGACATTTGAAGGTCGAATACAATTCCATAGAGAATTTTTCATAAAGCTTCTATTGGTTTCTTGTTTGGTCGGTTGGCTCCTAGCTTATATATATTGCATAATAGAAAACATACGTTGTCTTCTAGTCTTTGGTATTTGGGCTAGTGTGTCAGCTTATTGTCCTAAAGGAGACATCAGCAGTGAAAGTCTTTGATTTAAAAGTTGTTTCCCCACCCAATGAGGTTTCTATGTTTTATAGGTGAGTTTACCCTTCGGCTTTGTTATGGATTCACGATGATTTTGCAAAAAGGCGGTTAGGCTATAAACAATTCGTCGCAGTGAGCAGCCCCTCTCAGTTTGTCACCCTTTGACGAAAGCAGAACGGACAAACAAATAAAAAATATGTAAAAAGTTTGGTTTTTCCTCCTCGCTTCGACCGGACGAAACCTCGACCCGCGCCCCTCAACCCCACCGTCCCTCCCCGTTTCTCTGCCCCCGCCCGAGACCCATCCCCCCCCGCGCTCCCCTCCCCCTCCCCCTCCTCGCATTCTATTATCACGCTTTGGTACAAGTGCTGGACGCCGAGGAATGGGCGCCGGGGCTGCCTCCGTCGTCTGTCCATTTGTCCAGGCTCCGGCGGCGGGCGTTCATGAAGAAGTTGCTGACGGTGGTGAGTTCGAGGCCCAGCTGCTGAGAGATGGTGAGCTGCATCTCCTTGGACGGCCGCTTGTTCTCCTTAAAGATGGCCAGCAGGGTGCGCCGCTGCAGGTCGGTGAAGACCAGCCGCGACTTTTTCGGCGTGTTGTTGCGGTCCTTCCCCGTGTCCTGCTCCTTTCGTTTGCACGCTGCGGGGGGGAAGAAGACGATGAGAGAGGAGGAGAGGTAGTGGGATGAAGAGACAGAAAATAAAAGGGTTAGTGTTGTTTGTAGTAGTTGAACAACAGTTAAATATTGGATGATGTGAAACACAAACTGACAGAAGTTCATGTTCCTGTACATCTGATGTCTTATTCTCCCACTGAGTCATCACTACATTTAATCAATACAGCTCAGGCGTTCAACTCATAAGAATCATATGAGACGTAGAATGCAATGTGAAAGTTTGAGATGTAGCGGTGAAGTTTAATAATGGATGTTTAGATATTTAGCATGTTTTCACGCTTAATCCGTTTGGTTCATTTCAAATGAACTCTGGTGCGTTTTTCTTGTTTGATCTTTTTTTAAATTTTTACTGACCAGTAGGGGGCGACTCCTCAAGTTGCAAAAAGAAGTCTGATAGAAATCTATGAGAAACTGACTATTTCTCACTTGATTTATTACCTCAGTAAACATGAGTTTATGGTCTCAATCTCTAGTTTCAAGTCTTCTTCAATACAGCATGATGTTCATTTAGTAAATTATGGTCCATTTAGAGTCAAACAGACCATAAAGCAGAGTATGCTTTAGGGCGGGGCTAACTGTGATTGACAGGTCGCTGCTGCTACCAGCAGATCGTTGCATCACTCCTCCGCATTCGAAATATGGTCACTTGCATTTATCAATTACAAAAAACAACAACATGGCTACGCCGAAATCGCCCAACTCAAGGCTTTAAAACGTCAGTCTACAAACCAATGGGTGACCTCATGATGACTACGTCCACTTCTTGTAAACAATCTATAGGCTGGGTGTGAAAGCTGTCAATCGAACTCTGACGCGGACTCTGCAACCAGACCAAGACTGCCTAAAACTGTAGGTCTACCCCCATCTCGAAGTAAACTCTGGTGCAGTTTGGGTGTGGTGTGTTTTTGTTGGATAAATACTATAAGTCCATCAGAAAGAGGGGCGCTCTGGTCCCAGCGGTTAAGGCACAGACCATGAACTATGTCGCATGTTGTTCCACATTTCTCTTTTCTTGTGTCCAACCGTCTCTCTGCTGTCGGCTGTCCAATAAAGCAGTGGTTCCCAACTTTTTTCTTCAAGCCCAAAAAAATGACAAATCCACGAACAAAATCCTAAATCCTCAATTTAAATTTAAATCTGTTAGTCTGTTTCTATTAAACCAACTTTCTTTAATGAATATAACTCGTCCATTTCCTCGACATAAACAAAGTGATGGCGTCTTGACGGATTTTACTTTTAGACTTCACAACGCTCCGGAGTTATTGAAAATGTTTGGATCTCACGAGTCGGAAACCATCCTAGTCGTAGGTTGGGAACCACCACAATAAAGGTTAAAAAAAAAGAGTAAAAAACACAGGTGTGTATTTTAGCAGTTCCTCATTAATCGTATCCCCACATCATTTTATAGATGCATCTTTTTCATCCTGTTTTGTATGATGATGTATGAGGCTCAATAGCTAATGGCGCAAACTACGGCGAAAAGTGCTGACAGAGCTAACAGTGTTTACCTGACGAGGAACCGAAGGGTGGCCGCTACGCTTGGCGCTATCAGCTGTAACATCGCTAATAGCTGTTTGCTGCAATATGAAATGATCAGAATGTTAAATGCAGCTCCTTTAATGCTCACTCTTAAGCGCTTGCTTTGGGAAAAGTGAGTTGAAATGTAAAGGAGGGCACACCACCTAAATTAAGAATTCCAGTATGATATTTCAGTCCATGGTGGAGGAAGTTAGATCAATCTGTGATTCTAAATTGCCTGTAGGTGTCGATGTGAGCGTGAATGGTTGTCCCTGAAAAGGATAAGCGATTACGGATAGTGGATGGATGGCTACTCAAATTAGCTTTATTCTATTCTATTTTCAGTTGTGACTGAAAAAGTGCTGACAGAGCTAACAGTGTTACACTGTTACGTTCCCCTTTTTGGCATCTAAGGGATGCGGGGAGTAACGGTGTTATTTTCCCGGGGAAATAACACCGTTACTCCCCGCATCCCTTAGATGCCAGAACGGGGAACGTAACAGTAACGATAATAATAACGATAATAATTATTAATAATAATTATAATACATAATAAAAAATAATAAACAGACATTTTTTTACATAATAGTATAATATAATTGCAATAATAGTAATAAAACACCTTTTATAATGTGTTTGCTGTTGTATCTCAGTCAGTCACTGAGGAGGAGGTCTGGGTGCGTTTGATTTGATTACCTCTCTGAGTTAAGTCAGTACGAATGAGGTTAAGTGGTCAAACACACACACACACACACAGCTTCTTATTACAGTGTTTAGCGACCTGACGACAGATGCAAATGAAAGATGGCCAGCATCTTGTTTCTCTGCTGCTCTCTATTTCGTAATAACTGGTTGAGTGTCTTTATAGCCTTCGTGATCAATACACATATCTAATGTTTACACTGAGTGAAACATTCAAACCGCAGACCCCATGTTTTTTTTTTTTCATGGCTGGACATATTCTACATGTGTTTAGACATGTTTTCCCCCGAAAAATTCAGCCTGATGAGTTTGGTGTCTTTGTCGTCAGTGGGAGTTATTTCTTAAGTTTAGCATTGTGGCTAGTTGCTGGGCTGGGATGGATCAATTGAAAATGTCACTGTTGTTCATTATACAGGTGGCAACTCTCCTTCTGCTCTCCGGGTAAATAGGTGAAATGTTACAAAGACTTCATGTTTTACTCCACACTCTCAGGAGTTGTAATACAATTTGTCACTGACAGGTGGTGCTATTGATCTCTGCATATGAGGAGCCACATGCACACTGGATTTAAAGCATATAGTCAGTGTCTGAGTGTCTGAGTGTGTGTGTGTGTTTGTGTGTGAGAATTACTCACATTGTGGGGACATACATCTGTTTACTTGCCTTCCTTTTGGGGACAAAATGCACGTCTCCCGTTAAGTACAGTTTAGGATGAGGACGTGGTTTATGTTTTGTTTTTTTAGAGGGTTAGGATTAGGATTAGACAAGTAGTGGTTATGGTTGTGGTTTGAGTAATTCTCCAGGAAATGATTGTAAGTCAATGTAATGTCCTCTAAAGTAATGGAAACATGACTGTGTGTGTGTGTGTGTGTGTGTGTGTGTGTGTGTGTGTGTGTGTGTGTGTGTGAGAGAGAGAGAGAGACAGACAGAGATCAAAAGAGACACGTCTGCTTAGAATCATCAGACGTACGTATAATGACAAATTGTGAATGAAAGGCCAAATTGAAATAAGACTGTCATAATAATAATAGCTATTATCAGAATCTGCCTGGTCTTTTAAATGAACGCTATAAAACATGTTGATCCACATGTTTTGCCAGTGCTACCATTTTTTTCAACCTGTTTTGATTAAACCCTGTTTCACGTCATCTTTTTTAAATCTCTCGTTATTCCTGATTTTATTTTAGAGCACTTTATTATTATTAATGTTATTATTACTGGATTTAAAAGTGCTGTTAAACTTATTATTGATATTTATATGGATAGGACATATTCTATAGGGTATATAGAAGAATGTCACCATCAACCCAAAACTGTGTCACAGTTTTTGTTCTTGTTTGTTCAAAGCGTAAACTAGAAAGGATCTTGGACGTTGGACCTGACTGTTTACTGGGTGATCTTTGTGATAAAACATCCGACTGTGAGCCAACGTGTGTTTCTAGCAGCTCAACTGATAATGACTCTCGGAACCCCAAATAATTTATCTTTAACTGTGTTAAAACCTTTATTTAAACAAGGACAAACATGAACAGTGTTATTTTCACTACTACTTTTTCTACTGCTTGTAGTAAACCTACTACACCTGCTATGTGATTATCACGGCCATTGTACAACTCTTTATGCTAGCCGCTAATATGTTTTTTGTTATCACTAGCAGTAATAAGAATTTGTGCCAGGTAGTGCCAAAACAATCCACCCACAAGGCTTTTATTGTGAAATTTGAAGTGTTTTGACATTTCTGTCCGATGAACTCCTTCTGTTCTATTGATAGGAGGAAAATCCTTTCTTCACCTAATTAATATAATATGATAAGGATAATACTATAAGAAAATAAGACTTTTCAAAAATAAATAATTTAAAAGACACAAGGAGGATAAAAATAAGGTTAAAAGTAGATGAAAGCATGAAATGGAGTGGAATGGTAAAACCAGAAGAGATATATTAAATATTACCAAAAACTTTCCTTTAAAAATGTTTTAAGAAGTGATTTACTACTACTACTACTACTACTACTACTATTACTGCTACTACTACTGCTACTACTACTACTAATAATAATAATACTTATTCATGTCAAAATATGTCAAGGTATTCTAGGATCAAATTAGTTTGACAAATTAATGTTTTTTGTGCATATATACATACAAAAATACACTCAAAATAGTGTCTTCACTTACAATAGTTGCAGTTCTATAATTAAGGCGACAGAAAAAAGAATATTCATATGATTTTCTTTGTGCACTTTTGTAGTGTTTGTTTTGCACCTGGCATTTCCTGACTGGACTTGTGTTGATCATCGTGAAGCTCTGGTAGCTGTGAGTAACTGGAGGTACTTCCACCTGACAGAAAAGAGTATACAGGTTTTTATTTTCAGTATTCCTTCCATGCATATTTCATGCATGCATTATGAAACACAACGGTCGACAGTTCTGAGCTGACTGTGGCTGCCCCCGCCTTGTTTTCACTTTGATTCACACATTTCATTTCACATTTCCTGGTGGCCCGTCACAAAAAAAGTACGTCTGGTTCCAGATTCATATAATTATAATACATTTCGTTCTTTTATATGTATATTACACAACAGCTTCTTTTGGTAAATGAGGAAAAAAAATTTGGTAGAAAAATTGTACAATTAAAAAATGCATTGATTTAATACTAATAAAATTCAGTTTTGTATTGTCACTTTAGTTTCAAAAACATTTCAAACCATATTTGTCTCTTAATGTGGACTGCCCCAAAAAAGGACAAAAAAAACCAACACATTTAATTTCCAACCAAATTAAGCCCAGTTTAATGGCGGAATGCAATTTGAAATGATTCACATAGTAATTTAAGAATTTCCCTCATGTACAGAAGATCATTATAGCCACATGTCAACATATCTTTGAGTCCTGAATAGAGATGCACAGGTCCAGGTACTGATAACAGATATCGGTCCTGTACTGACTTAAATAGCTGGACCAGGTCTCGTATCGGATACCATTATTTTAATAAATAACATTCATATATTTGTATTTATTTGTTACATTTTGTTTGACAAAGTCAAGAGAGCAACGGTTGACTCTGTTGCAGCTAGAATTCACTTTAAACTCAAACACATTTCCCCATGTGGCCCTAATGCTCTTCCGTACACACCTAACATTGCTGGCTTCATCTGTGTGTCTCGGTGATGTCTTTTTGTCATTTAGTTGTATATCGCATGAATGTTCTGGAACTACTTTATTCGGACATGACGGCTGTTTGTTTAAGACATTCCACTGTGCACAAGTGCAGAATAACAAAACAGTGTTTGTTATTCTGTGTTGGGACAAATTCAAGTTGTTCAGACACTGTTTTTTTTGTCTGGATAGTTCCAAACATGCAGTTGTCACTAATGAAGACTGAAGATATAGGATGGAAGTACTGGTCTAATTATAAAAGTTTATTTGTTTTGCTGCATTGCTAGATAGAGGGAATCCAAAAATATCTCACGTGCGAAGAATCTCCTCAACCAACAATAAAAATAAATAAATAAATGTTTTGCAAAGGTCAAAAAATAAACAGTGAAATACGGTTTCAAATACTGCAAATAGATTTCCAGTGTACACCTTTCCCTCTCTGTCTCTCTCTTTGCAGCTTACTGTAGCTCGATGGAAAGCAGCTCTGCAGCAGTTCACGCCGGACTTAAAATAAATAAATAGTGCAGACGTGTTTACGTTTAAAAAAAAGGGACCAATCAAAATCACCCACCCATAAACACAGTGTGCCGTCAATGTGATGAAAAGCACGCTCGAGTGATTCGATCGGGCTTTTTTTTTTTTTTACCCCCCTCTGGTCGAGGTTACAGTGAGGATCAAATACGCATTTATATTATTCAAAAGGGGTTTACCGGTTTGAGGAGGGGCGACAGTAAGGAGGGGGGAGGGGCAGCCATTCTTTTAAAGTAAAAGGTTGAGTCAATAGGATCAATAAAGCAGGGTTCCTCTGTCTTTCATCAGCTCTCTCAGTCTCTCTCTCTCTCTAGACATAAGTGTGTTGCTAAACGTGATCAGCAGAAAACACCAGAATCTCTTCACCGTGTCTTTTTTTGAATCCTCTCTGTGTGACTCAGCTGTCACAGCCTCCCTCGTCTCTGTTATACTCAGTGATTCAAACTACAATCGCAGTCGTCATAGTTATTCCCCTAATATCACATCATCATCATCAGTATAACCTTCTCAACCATATGCCGATTCTCAAACGCTAAGTAGGGCTGTCACAATATCAGATGTTCACAACACAATTATCGTGTTCAATAGAATTCACGATGACGATGTTATCACATTAATTGAATTAAAAAATAATATTTCATAAAATAATAACAATAACAATTATGTTATTAGCCAAATTCATCTTTAACTTTTAATTTGTATCCATTTAGTCTCTTCTTGGCAAATGAATTACACTCCCGATACGAGTGTAGGAAGGTGGAGAATGTCTGTAATCATAACTGTATAAAAGGATTTAAGAGACACTGGATACTGCAATATTATCACGTGTGTTATGAACATGATATCCATATTTCATTTTTTAATACCACGATTATCGTCAATACTGGTATAACGCTTCGCCCCTGATTTTGATCCTAATCTTGCCAGTTTTACACTGGAGGTCCAAGTTCTAAGGTATTGTGTCGACTCTTGTGTCTCAAACAATTTCAAACGATAGCCATCCTCTTTATAAGGGAAAGAAACATTCTATAACAACCTCATCACCACCATAATCATCTCGACCACAATGGTTCACATCAACATGATCATCTCATGACATGAATATCATGTTCATCACATTATGATCATCATCTTAGAGTAACAGTACAACATTTTGGGAATTTCATTTATTTGACGATCAATATAGCTCTCATGTCCGTATGCTAAGTTAGGTGGTCAAATCAGGACGTGGTTAGCCTAGCTTAGCATAAAGACTGGAAGCAGAGGTGAAACGACTAGCCCGGTTCTGTCCAAAATCCCAGCACCTCTGAAGCTCATTTCTTTTGTGCTTTCTTAGGGAGGTACTACGTGCTGGAACTATTTCTTGGCAAACAACACCTGTCTCCCAGTGGCTGTGCACAGCCTTCCTGAAGCCTTCTCCTCACAATGAAGTTGCCAGGTTTGGTACCATCGCGACTGAAGAGAACAAACCCTGTGCTCACTGACTGCATCTGGCAACCTGTGCAGTAGCTGCAGATGCTGCGCAGAAAAAGCGGATGTCCACCTTAGGGCTGGACCCGAATATTTCGGCTACTCAGTTATTCATTCGTTGCGTAGATATTAGTTTTTTCAATTTTGGTATTCGTGAACAGAGAAATGTCTGAGTCCTTTCCGGGTCACGTCATGGAGATGAGCCAAGCCAGAGCCCTTAGTACCATTGCTTATGTTTGAGCGTAACACATGCAGGGCTTGGGCTGAGCAGAAACCTCCAGGTGGCAAAGCTGAATTTTTAAATTTATGCTAGGCTAGGCTAACGACGCCCTGACTCCAGCTCCGTACTTAACGCACAAACAATACATTGATATCTATCTTCTCCTCTCACTCTCGGAAAGAAAGCAAAAAAAACAGTTCTTAAACTGTGAAACTATTCCTTCAACATCATTTGTTTTATTTTATTCTTCTAATCCCAATCCTTTGTAATCTAAGTCATCACCGCTGTAATTATTGTCATCACAATAACCATTATCACCAGCTTCAAAATCATTGCGTCACTCTTAAACCGTCAGTCACTCTCATCATCATCATCCCAAGTATCCACCAGTTAAAATCATTCTTACCACATGACCAGAATCAGTCTCATCCCAGTTGTCATTCTTGTAACCGCAATTATTTCAAAACATAATCATCACCACCATCCCAATAGTGCTCGCTGCAACACAATCATCTCCATTATCATTATCACCACTGTCGCATCGGCATCGCAATCACCATCATTTTCGCCAGACAATTCAAGATGGCCGTATGCTGGCAGAGTTGGTCATGTGAAAGTGTTGTAAATGAGAGGCACCGGCGATACAAATGTGTTCTCAGCTTTCTGTTCGCTCAAACAGCGATCGTCCAATCATAGCTTACACTGTTTATCTGCTCTAACATAAGCTGCAATGGTTAGCATGTCAGATACAGTGAAGGCTAACGTTACTTCCAAAGACTATTAGGGTTATGGTTCCATAAAGCATTTTAACAGCAAACTACATTGGTTTGTAGGGTTGCAGGTTATGTAAGTAAAAGGAAACTCCCCTTCACTACCCTGAGGATGCTGGTCCTGGAAAATAACAGTCGGATAATACATTCATGCTTATTATGCAACTGTAAAAACAAGGAATCCCTGTCTGTCTGTATGTGTGTCCTTTGCCTAGCTCGAGCACAGTTCATCCGATTTGCTTCACACTTGGCAGGTGTGTTGCTGGGGACCCAAGGATGTGCAGTGACAAAGTTGGTGCAATTTGGAGTCGAGCATGTCGTCCTCAGTGGGCCTTTACCGGCCGCGGCTCATTGATTGCAGTTCACTTTTGCTGCTGTATGTACTAACGTTAAAACCATCGCTGTCATGCCGAGCAATCGGCGTGCTCTGAACAGTCACGATCTTCGATCGGCCATATGCTTGGAATCAAGCAATTGCCCGTTCCAAAGGGCCATGCCCCAAACGGGAGACTGCACTAGTACTTAGAACACTAGGACCAACTAGCTGCAATAAGAAGTCTGATTGTATAGAAGTCAATGAGAAAATTACCCTAACTCTCACTTGATTTATTACCTCAGTAAACATTGTAAACGTGTTCATTTCGTAAATTATGGTCCAGTTTATAGTCAAATAGACCAAAAACCAGGGTATGCTTTAGGGCGGGCGTACTGTGATTGACAGGTTGCTGCTGCTTCCAGAGCCGTATGCGGTGTCTCTATGTCACGTCTCCGCATTCCAATTATGGTCACTTACGTTCATTGGCTGCAAAAAAAACATGGCGACGGCCGTAAGATGGTGGCGGCGAAATCGCCGAACTCAAGGCTTCAAAATGGCAGTCCACACACCAATGTGTGATGTCACGATGACTACGTCCAGTTCTTATATACAGTCTGTGGCTGTAACTAAATTGCTCCAACATGACATGGATGCAGCATTTGGCCATTCACAAGGGCAACACCAGACATTTTTAAATTGCTGACAAAATCTGAGATGCGAGCATCCGTACACACATGTTGAATCAGGCTAAATAAGTGGTGAACTCATCCAATTTAAGACAGACACAGAAATGAACTGCTATTGAGACTTCCATTTTAAAAACACAATCAGCTGTGAACACCCACTGCTGACCAAAAGGTCAGGCCTTTTCCAA